CGCTGCAAGAAGGCTAAGCAGCAGCCAGCGTCGCGCGGAGCGCTTTGCTTACATTTCCAAGCTGGAAGAGCATGGCGACCTCGAAGAGGACGACGGCTCAGTGGACATCGAAGGCCACGATGTGCAAGATGGCTTGGGAGAGCAAGATGCTCTCGAGCGTCAGGAGCGGGCCCTGCACGCTGTGGCGCTGGATTCGCTGCAGGATGTTCTCTTTCGCGAAGCAGAGTGGGCTCGAGTGCTAGCTGGACGGCAAAGCCACACCAAGGAGACGCTGACCAAGCTCACGGATTTCTGCTTGTCATTAGGAGGAGTCCCTCAAGTGCAGCAGGGAATGAGCATTCGTGCCCAAGGAGCTGTGGGTCTGCGGCGCAACTGGAGTCATGCGGATGCAGAGCGGGCTCTTGGCGCTCAAAAGCGCTACCTGGAGTTTCTTTCTGGAGGCGCGGCGTATCCCATGCAAGCTCGGTTTTCGGTCGCTGTTGCTTTCATGTGCTTTTCTGGCTCGCTGTCTCTTGGTTTCGTGGAACTGCCCCGTTGTGGCCACAGGTGACGCAGAGATGGGCAAGGATGACGCGGACGAGGAGGAGTTTGCGCCGGTGCCGGAAACGCTGGACCCCTTCCTGGTGGACTTGAACGCCCGCGGCCTTGGCCCGGCCGAGTACGCGCTGGAGCTGGTGCGGAAGCACACCCTGAACAAGCAGCAAGTTCTGGCAGTGGCCCCGGTCGTGAACGCCATGCAGGAGATGTATGACAAGCGCACTGATTTCTCCAGCTGCCTGGCGGATGGAGCCAGCAGCGAGAAGTGCAACTGCTTGTGGCTTGGCGCAGGGGGCTCCGGCAAAACTTGGGCCTATACGAAGGTGCTTCGTCCTCTTTTCCAGCGATTCTTTGGACGCGCTGGCTACATCGTGGGAGCTCCCACCCACGCAGCCGTCAGACTCCTTGGCCCCGAGGCGAAGACGCTGCACAAGTGGGCCAACGTGAGCCCAAACACTGGCTTGGACCGCCGAAACCTTCGCGGTGCCAAGGCCAAGGGCAGCGCCGTGGAGGCGCAGATTGCCCAGGCGTCTGCCACGGTGATGGACGAGCTGTCCATGAATCCTCCAGATGTGTATCACGCGGCCGGCTATAGGTTTTCTTTGCTGCGACAAGAGCCTTTAATTGGGCCTGGACATGAGCAAGTACATGGAGGAGTGGTTTGGCAAGATGCCCATCGGCATCCAGCTGGCGGACTTCTTGCAGCTGCGCCCAGCCACGCAGAAGTCGCTCTGTAAGTGGGTGTCGGCCAAGGCAGCGACAGAGCCTTCGGCCGACCCCGACGCGGACGCGGAGCACGACGACTCGGAGGAGGCTCCAAGGGCTTGGCAGCGTTTGTGAGCTTTGAGTGTTGTGTTTTTGTCTGACGCATTTCCACGGTTGGATGTAGGCCATGCCTCACTCTGAGTCTTCCGTGAGGTCAGCAACGCGTCCGAGCTGGGGCGCCTGCTATTCAAGCAGTCGCTGCAGCGGGTCGTCCACTTCACCGGCACAGGTCGCTTCTTGGATTGCGTTTCTGGGCGACAGCTCGTGCAGCTTTTGCAGCACATGCGAAGTGGGACGCGCATGTCTGACGAGCTGTGGCAAGCCGTCAAAGCGAGGAGCTACACCTCGGCCTCCACGACTTCAGCGTCCACTCGCGAGCAGCTCCTCCAAGCTCACTGGGGCGGCTTTGCCTGGGAGCAGGTGGCCCGCTTGCAGCAGCTCAGGCCGCGCTGGAGGCCCGAGCTGCCGGTCAGACTTTGTACTTCGCGCAGGCGATTGACCGCCCCACGGGTCCCACGCAGCTCAGCAGAGACCACGTCTTCGCAGCCTTGCAGGTCGTGAACATGACAAAGACGTCATATCTGCTTGGCATGTGTCCTCTCTACGTGGGCATGCCTGCCCGCGTGTCTTGCATATTGCCCATGCCCTTGCTGACACGCGAGCTGCCCGTGATCGTTCGAAGGATAGAGCTGCCAGTCCCGGAGGGTCAGGGGTGTGTTGTTCTCGCATATCAGCCTCTGGCAGTGCTGGTAGAAGTAGATGACGAGGAGTACAAGAACTACTGCCTACCTGGGCATGAGGGCGTTCCGCCCGGGCACTTTTTCATCCGCGCCATATCTTCAGAAAACGCTTGGTCTTTTCATACTGCGGGCAAGGAGAAGATCAGCGTGGTGCGCAAGCAGGTGCCGCTGGCTCCTCGCTGTGTTTTGACTCACTACGGGCTGCAGGGCGTGACTGCCCGGCGGGGTCTCGTGGCCTTCCTTTCCAGGCCCAGCTGGATGAAAGACGCAGACTACGCCCTGGCGATGTACGTCATGCTATCTCGCCCGCGCAAGTTGGACGACTTGTGGATCATCGACTTGCCTGAGAGGGACGTGTTTGAGGGGCACTTGCACGCCCACAACACCACGCTGGTGGAGAGGATGCAGCAGTTCGAAGCGCAAGCGCTTCGGGACGAGAGCAGGGCATTGTCCTACGTTAGAAAGCTTGGCTGGCACAGCTCCGAGTTCGTGTCCGATCTCTTCCCCTCTGGCGCTTTTGAGCGGCGAGTCCGGCAAAAGCTTCGTGCGTGACACGCAGCCTGGGCTACCACACCGTTCGTCATCAAGATGGCTCAGCACTGCAGACAGCTATAGTCGTGTCATCTGGGTTGGCTCGCGCTGGCGGATGTTTCCGACGCGCGAGCGATCCCAGTCTGGCGCGACATAGACGTGGGAGGACGAGCATCTTGGTGGTCGGATTCCGGCGACTTCAAGGACGACCTTGGCACTTCCAGTCTCCGCGGCGGCACGCGTGATTCTTTGTGAGTCCTCCGGGCGAGTTCGTGTCCGATCTCTTCCCCTCTGGCGCTTTTGAGCGGCGAGTCCGGCAAAAGCTTCGTGCGTGACACGCAGCCTGGGCTGCCACACCGTTCGTCATCAAGATGGCTCAGCACTGCAGACAGCTATAGTCGTGTCATCTGGGTTGGCTCGCGCTGGCGGATGTTTCCGACGCGCGAGCGATCCCAGTCTGGCGCGACATAGACGTGGGAGGACGAGCATCTTGGTGGTCGGATTCCGGCGACTTCAAGGACGACCTTGGCACTTCCAGTCTCCGCGGCGGCACGCGTGATTCTTTGTGAGTCCTCCGGGTAGCATAGCTCATGAGTAGCTCAGGTAGTGATGCACGGCTTGTTGCTGAGCGCAACGAGCGGGCGCATGCGACGAGCAAGAACAATGCGAGTGAGTCGCGAGCGGTCTGGGCTTTTGCTTGTATGCGGGCGCACAACTCCGGCAGAGCCAGCAGCCAGCGCCACAAACGCACACGAACGACACCGCCAGCACTGGTGAACACCACGCGCAGTCTCACGCGCAGCAGCACGTGGCACATCATGCGCAGCATCGCGCGCAGCGTCACGCACCGCGCCACGCACAGCTTCGCGCGCAGCACGCAGCCGCCACATCTTGCAACACGCGTTTCGCGATCTTCCTCGCTGCTGCCAGACAACATCAGCAGATTGAGCGCTTGCGCTGTCTCCATGTTTTGCTCTTCGAGGGAAGCCGAGTGAAGCCGGACAACATCAGCAGATTGAACCAGCCTCGCGCGCAGCATCATGTGCCACATCATGCGCAGCACCGCGCGCAGCGTCACGCACCGCGCCACGCACAGCTTCGCGCGCAGCATGTAGCCGCCATATCTTTCAACATGCGCTTTGCGATCTTCCTCGCTGCTGCCAGACAACATCAGCAGATTGAGCAACCTGCGTGACATGCTTGAGCGCTTGCACTGACTCCACGTTTTGCTCTTCGAGGGAAGCCGAGTGAAGCCGGACAACATCAGCAGATTGAACAACTCGCATCAGCAGCTTGAGCAGTTGTGTTGCCTGCACGCTGTTGCACTTGAGTGAAGCCAAGGGAAGCCAAGGGAAGCCGGACAACACCGGCAGATTGAACAACCTACATGACATGCTTGAGCATTTGTGCTCACTGAACGCTGTTGCACTTGAGTGAAGCCGAGGGAAGCCAAGGGAAGCCGAGTGAAGCCGGACAACATCAGCAGATTGAACAACCTACATGACATGCTTGAGCTTTTGTGCTCATTGCACGCTGTTGCACTTGAGTGAAGCCGAGGGAAGCCAAGGGAAGCCGAGTGAAGCCGGACAACATCAGCAGATTGAACAACCTACATGACACGCTTGAGCATTTGTGCTGCCTGCACGCTGTTGCACTCGAGTGAAGCCAAGGGAAGCCGAGTGAAGCCGGACAACACCAGCAGATTGAACAACCTACATGACATGCTTGAGCATGTGTGCTCATTGAGCGCTGATGCACTTGAGTGAAGCCGAGGGAAGCCAAGGGAAGCCGAGTGAAGCCGGACAACATCAGCAGATTGAACAACCTCCGTGCCACACTTCTGCATTTGCATTGAGACCTCGCTTTGTAAGTTGCCTGCATGTCCAGGAGCTTCGCTCCAGTTTCGCTTCGCCCAGGTGGTGGTGGTTTCTCCACGGTGCCTCAGGTGTTGGTTCTCCCCCGCCTCGCCTTCCGCGCCACGCGCCTGGTGGTTGGCTCAAGCTAGCGCGGCAAAAAAAAAAACATCGCGGTAGTTTGCTTGCTGCCTGTTTGTTCATGTTGGAGCCGCCCGAAGCATGGTATGCATCATCGAGATCCACATGCCGAGCCACTCGATCTACACGCGCGACATGATGGTGGGCAAGATCGCGATGAGCAGGGAGAACCTGCACTGAGAAGTGCATTCCTCAACTTTTAGTGCCATATTCGAGCTACTGAGAAAAAGCGGAATCTGTCTGTGTGCAGCTTGTCGCGACTAGACTACTTGATCGCTAACAACTAACTTGCCTCTATGCTTCCGGGCCACTCGTCGTCTAGTTTTTTTTAGAAGGCTGCCTGGAAAGAATGGGGAGGGTACCCCTAGATTCACCAACTTTCTGGCCTGGGAACGTCGTTCCCAGGGCCTTTCATCGGTTACCGCCGAGCGTCAAGATCCAGGGGATGCCCGTGCTTCAGGGTTGGAAACCTCAGATGCCAACGGCATGCTTGACACAGATGCCTCTGGTCCAGGACCCGTGAAAGTAGAAGCCACCCACCAAACAAGGGCTCCGCTCCGCTCTTCTGCCAGAAGTTGTCTCAAAATGAGGCTACAAAGTTGTTGGCTTCTTTTTGGATTCCTTGAAATGCAAACTGGTTTGAGCAGAAAAAACAAACTTGCCCGCTGCCTCACATAAAGGACTCGTCCCCTTTGTGGTCCCCCTGAATGCCCCTCCCAAATTGGCGGGAAACTGCTGGCAGTTTTGACCAAACCTCACATTTCCGGCAACTTCAGCGTGGCTGTCGAGCGATGCCAAACCAAGTGTCACAGCCCAAGTGAGAACACAATGAGCAACGGACAATACCGGCCATGGAGTGCCCACAGGGAATCCGGTGAGTATTCACCATGCGGCAACCTGGTGACTGAGCCCCACTTGCCCTGCGAATCGATCCGGGCAAGTTCTACTTCCCCTGAGAAGACAATCTCCCCAAGAGAGGCGGTCTTGGAGGTCGAGACCCGTGACAGGTCCCAGTTGTCGCATAAAACAGATGCCCTCTGTGACGCGCCATAACTTACCCCGGTTCAATGACTGTTGCTCACAGGCTCACGGTTCAGATGCTTGGCAGGTCAGGCTGTCGCCCGCAAGGATGCAGACAATTCAGAACAACTTGGTAACCAACACAAGTCATGTTCAAAATTGGCTTAAAAGTTCAAAGACGACATATTCTCAGTTGCTTTCTGCTCCCCTGCTAAGTTTTAACTTTAGTGGTTTCATGGAACACCCATTAGTTGGCTTAAAAGTTATAAAAGACACATATTCAGCCATGGGTCAAAACCCAAATCGTACCCCCAGTGAACATCCCAATGCCCACTAAAATAGACTAAGATGGGTGGTGCACCTACCCAAAAATGGTACCATTGGTTTTGACCCACAGCCATATTCTCAGGTCCATCTGGAGCTTCAGCGTAACTCCAACACCTGAACTAAGATAGTCTTCGCCGGGATGCTTGTCCACGCCCATGTCAACGCAGAACTTGGCGGCATCACCTGCGGAAAGTCGGCAGAGCGTATGATGTATACTCGCACTTCCTGAGTGGACTGGCATCAAAAACGTCCAAGCTGTTTTGATTTATCGCTAAAGATCCCTCGCTAAACGTGAATAACTTTCAGTGGGTCAAATGGAAATCCAACCACTAAACACTAAAAGGCTAAAAAGCTGAGGGGATGGCTGGGAACCACCAAGCAAAATTGCCCAAACGCACAAGGCCTAAAGTTCAGGAACTCGTCTGAAGTGAGTGCTGTGGGACAAACAAAATGTTTCGCGCCAGTTCATAGGTTGCTTCTTCCATCCCGACTGGTTGGGGATTATGACCATCCACGGTATGATCCTTTAACATGGGTTTTGTGAGATGGGTGTTTTCTTCTGATCGGAATCGGTCCCTCAGAATGCTGGACATCATTTTAACTACTAATTCCACCATTTTGACACACCCCACATGGTCTAGCAAGTCAGTTTTACTCGCGGCGTTCAGCGGAATGAACGTCCCAAGCGCCCCACTTGGATCGCCTGAGCAGTCTACGTCAGCAATGAGGATGGCCTTCTCCTTCCTCGCATCCTGGGCGACCAACTTCAACTGTGCTCGAGGGCGATGGTTCGGGGAGCAACTAGAAATCTCTGACCCTAGCAATCCTATCCAGGTGTTCGAGTAAATAGCTAAGTAGGGCACTCACACCAAAGTACACCTTTACCACAAGACGTACTTGACATGGAAGACCCATAGACCATCACGTTTAGCAGAATCTGCTTTGGGCATGCAGCGGGAACCTTCTCTGTGCTACCACAGCGTGCCACCCCGACGACCTTGTCACGTCAGGGGCTATTCCCAGAAAGGTGTTTAGCACAGCCTCTTTTCTCAAACAACGTTGGTGCCCCTCTTCGAGTAGAGACTTATCTGCCTTCCCCATTTTGCCCACGAAGGGAAACCCTTGGGCGTTGCAAGAAAAGAGACCGGCTCGGCACTCAAATATGGCCACACTTTACACTTATTTCTGACCATGTGCATTTTGCTTAAATTTGACCATTAACTTCCCTTATTTATGACCATGGAATTCACTTACTTGTGACCAGGCGACCATGCAGGAATCCATGACCTGCGGCCGCGCCGCTTCTGCGGCTGGGGTATTTCTGTGGCCTCCTGGGGCTGGGGAGGGGGGGGGGTCGCTGACTGCTTCGGAAACTATGCTTTGTGGAAAGTATGCTTCAAACACCAGGAGAAAGTGCCACGCTGCCATCGCTAGTCAGTTAGGGGTCTATGACCGGGAAGGTGTCGAGCAATGACCGTGAAGGCTGCGGGGAAAGACCGGGAAGGCCTCGAGGAAGGAGCAAAGACTGGGAAGACTTCGGGAGAAGAGAGGGAAGGCGTCCAGGAAGGACGGGAAGGCTGGCTTTGCCATCGAGCATGCAGTGCGTTTGTGACAAGTGCACTGCGCGTATCAGATCTATGCAGACTGCTGGCGGACTGAGCCGAAACCGGAAATGCGACCGCCAAGCCCAGCCAAGGCCCAGGTGGGGCGACTTGCACAAAGCAGATGACGGGCCCTGCTCGCCCGGGCCTTGGCGCGGCGCCTTCCCGGTCCTTCCCCGGCGCCTTCCCGGTCATTGGCCAAGACCTTCCCGGTCTTTCCGCCGCCTTCCGACCGCCTTCCCGGCTGTTGCTCAACGCTTCCCTCGGCGCCTTCCCGGCCTTTTGTCGCAGCCTTCTCGGAGCCTCCCAGTCCTTTCCCGCCCTCTTTGCTAGGGTTTTGTTTTCGGTTTTTCGGTAGGGAGGACTTCGCCATCCCGAGCTTTTGCCAAGGGCATTGTCTGTCGGCTTCCCCCTCAGCAGCCACCAGTGCCTGCCCACCTCGCCCCTTCCCCCTGGCCGGATGCCTGCTACTGTCCACTTGCGCACATTGAGGATCCCGGAAACTGAAAGCAGAGGCGGCTGCCCCTGTGTTCCGCCGGCGCGTGCATCATCCCAGGCTACTCTGCGCCTGCTCTGTGAGCCAAGCACCTTCCCGGCAGCCTGTCTTCCTCCGCATGGCCTCCGAGCAAGCCAAAGTCTGGTCTTGAACGCTCAGCGCCTTGGAAACGCGTAAGTCGAGCCCCGCTGCAGCAAACTCATGGGCATCCTTGGGCTGAAGCGCACAGTGCGCTTGCAGTAGGCACACTGCGTGCTCAGCACCAATCTGCTCTGCTCGGACAGGACCCAAGACCTTGCTGGCTGCGCTTCCCCGGCCTTTGGCCCCGAGAGGTCCCTGCAAGATGCCCGCGTCGGCCTTCTCCCGCCGGCCTGCCGCGGCCCGCGGCCTCGGCGGTCTCGCTTGCTTTTTCCGTGGCCGGAATTCGCCGCCTGGACAAGACCGGGAAGGTTTCAAGGAAGGACCGGGAAGCGTCGCGCGAAGACCGGGAAGGCCCCGGAAGAAGACCGGGAAGGTGTCGCGCAATGGCCGGGAAGGCTGCGGGAGAAGACAGGCAAGGCGTCGAGGAAGGACCGGGAAGGTGTCGAGCAACGACCGGGAAGGCTGCGAGGAAAGACTGGGAAGGCTGCGGGAAAACACCAGAAAGGCGTCGAGGAAGGACCGGGAAGGCGTCGAGCAATGACCGGGCAGGCGTCGAGCAAAGACCGGGAAGGCGTCCAGGAAGAACCGGGAAGGCGTCAAGGGAAGACCGGGAAGGCCCCGGAAGAACGGGAAGGCGTTGAGCAATGACCGGGAAGGCGTCGAGCAAAGACCGGGAAGGCGTCCAGGAAGAACCGGGAAGGCGTCAAGGGAAGACCGGGAAGGCCCCAGAAGAACGGGTGGGCTTGGGCTTGTTCTTACTGCCCGGAGGCCTGCCTCTAGGCCTTGGCGCCGGTTGCGCTTGCTTCATCGGTTTTTAATAGAAAATATTTTTTTAAAAGACCTTCGGGGGATTAGACGTGATCCAAAAACAGCACGAAGGACAACGACGAGCCCCTCAGTCGGACGAAGGCGTTGAGCAATGACCGGGAAGGCGTCGAGCAATGACCGTGAAGGCTGTGGGGAAAGACCGGGAAGGCTGCGGGGAAAGACCGGCAAGGCGTCGAGGAAGGACCGGGAAGGCGTCGATCAAAGACCGGGAAGGCCCCGGGAGAAGACCGGGAAGACTCGCGAACACCGGGAAGGGGAAGGTGTCGCGCAATGGCCGGGAAGCTCGAGCAAAGACCGGGAAGGCTGCGGGAGAAGACAGGGAAGGGGAAGTCGAGGAAGGACCGGGAAGGCGTCGAGCAAAGATCGGGAAGGTCCCGGGACAAGACCGTGAAGGCGTGGAGCAATGACCGGTGCGGGGAAAGACCGGAAAGGCGTCGAGCAGTGACTGGGCAGGCGTCGAGCAAAGACCAAGGCCCCGGGAGAAGACCGGAAAGGCGTCGAGCAATGACCGGGAAGGCGTCGAGCAAAGACCGGGAAGGCCCCGGGAGAAGACCGGGAAGACATCGAACAATGACCGGGAAGGCTGCGGGGAAACACTGGGAAGGCTGCGGGGAAAGACCGGGAAGGCGTCGAGGGAAGACCGGGAAGGCCCGGGAGAAGACCGGGAAGGCGTCGAGCAATGACCGTGAAGGCTGCGGGGAAAGACCGGAAAGGCGTCGAGCAATGACCGGGAAGGCGTCGAGCAAAGACCGGGAAGGCCCCGGGAGAAGACTGGGAAGGCGTCGATCAGTGACCGGGAAGGCGTCGAGCAAAGACCGGGAAGGCCCCGGGAGAAGACAGGGAAGGCGTCGAGCAATGACCGGGAAGGCTGCGGGGAAACGCCGGGAAGGCTGCGGGGAAAGACCGGGAAGGCTGCGGGGAAAGACCGGGAAGGCGTCGAGCAATGACCTGCGGGGAAAGACCGGGAAGGCTGCGGGGAAAGACCGGGAAGGCGTCGAGGAAGGACCGGGAAGGCGTCGAGCAAAGACCGGGAAGGCCCCGGGAGAAGACAGGGAAG